TATAATAAATCCAATTAAACATTATTTGATACATATTTAACTTTTTTGGCTATAGCTAAGTCAGTCACAAGTAAGCATTTTCTAATGTCCATTATATCCCTTTAGATATGACTTCAATCAATATTCTGAGTGGATAACATGTATCAGTATTTTTGTCTGTATGTCCTAGCACTGTTCAGCAGCAAACTTTTCTAGTTCTTGTTTTTTCTTTGTTAAACAATGGAAGCACAATGTTATATGGAACGGTAGTTTTAAGCTAACAACCAGTGCACAGCCTCAGGTTTTAAATTACAACCACATTTGATTAATATCCTTAAAAAATACTGTTACGTTGCTAAAATTCTCAATTTTTAATTTGGCAGTTCTGGAGCTGCTTCTCTATGTTGGTTTGCCAAAAAAAGTGTTAAAACAAAAATATATGTTTTGTGTATACAGTAAATGGACTAATTCTTTATATTAAATTCCTGTCTATGCATTTTGTGAGGTACAAACTTATGTCACCGTGAATGATAGAGAATACCTGCCATGCTTTTAGCTCCACAGTGAAAGTTGCTGTTCGGATTATTTCTGAGTTTTTTGTGTAATTGACTGCTGAAAAATCTCATGCTCTTAAATATGACAACAAAACACTCTAAGCCCAATGGCTTATTTCTTCTTCCAGTGAAATAAAACTGTTGGCATATCAACTCTTGATAGTGATTCCGTGATGGAGAATGAAAATCCACGTTGATTGGAATTCATCTCCTTCTTCAAAATGTTGCACCTTTGAAAATAATATTTGTCTATGGTTGCTATACTTGTGAAGTCTAAAAGCATGATGGCCTGTTGTAAAGGGTTATCTCCTTGGATTTATTTTTTTGTGTGGGGGAGGGACAGTTTGAATATGACATCATGTACTAAGGTAAAATCGAAGACAAGGTGCTGTGTCAGATTATTTATCAGAAGAGTATAAAACTTTTAAGGACAATATTAGAGTATTTTAATTGCTTTTGTTTGAACGTTTATCTTGTTCATTTCTAAGAAAAAAGGGTGACGTCAATCAAGCAGCACTTTTTTCAAACTATACAGATCATAAATAATATGATGTGGTTGAGTGTTAACATAATAAATCATATACAGTATGACATTTTAAAGAAATAAGTCTGCATTGATGTGATTGCATGCTTGTTTTTACAGTTCACTCCATACCCATATGTGGAAAAATGCAATAATATGTTAATATAGTACGGTAGTTTGAGAGAACCAGGTAGGTGCTACTAGACACATTGAAAAGTAGTATAGGTTTACAAGATATTCATGTCTTTCAAAGCATACACTTTTAAAAGGCTGGCAATGGAATTCATTCCATTTCTTACCAGAAAAATAGGTTCTTGTCACCACAGTAAGTTGCATTAACTGTGTTACAATACTATATACTTCAGTTTGATTTCAGGACTTGAAGCCCAATCCAAGAAAGACTCCAAGTACATTCTTAACTTTAATTATGTGCACAGCTCTTTGGATTCCATGGAGCTATTCATCTGCTTACAAATTAGGTGCTTTTCTGGATCAGGGCCTTATTTGCTGAAGTTGAACTGTTTATTAATGCTGCTTTTACATCATTAGAAATTCTTTTCTTTTTTTACTCCATGTTGCTTGAACTATAAAATTGTTGCTTAAGTCATTACTTACCACCATGTCAAGTGAGTACGTGAAAAGTCGGAGCATCTTCAGATGTGATTGTTGAAAGCTGTCTTCTCAGCACTGAAACTTTGCAAATTGGACTGTTAAACTACGCTGTTTGGTTGACTTTTAGTTAAGATTGTTCCTGTGTGCTCATTTTCAATAGATCTGATTCTCAGTTGCCTTGCACCCTGTGATGTCATTTACATCTCTGGCAAGTGGGTGCAAAAATACTACAACCTACATACGTGAATGGAAAATTCAGTGGGGTAGTATTTTATAGACTTATCTCTGTTTACACATGTAAATGACTACCCTTGGTGTAAGGCAGTATTAGGCCCCTTGCGGGTAAAACCATGGTTCAGAGATAAATTTAGTTAATAAACTAAACTAAATAAATAAATAGTCTGTTTCTATTATGGCAAGATCTAGTTATGAAATACTGAGTCCATTACAATTGGACCCTAAACTAAGTATATATGTAAAATGAATGTTCTGAATGGGAACCATGTTAGTGACACCCACACCCACCAACACATGCAGAGTAATTTACTAAAGACAAGGTAGCTAAATTTTGTCAATGTACTGTTTACAGTGTCCATTGGGTATTTTTAGCTTTTAAATGTATAACTTTTTTTTATGCTTTGAAAACATAATCGTTTAAATAAGAAAGTGGCATCGCAAGGCAATGGGTGCATCTTTCCACTCTGTTTAGTGTCATCAGAGAAACTAAGAAGCAGTTTAAGGAACCTGATATTT